ATTATTAACTCGAATCATAAATACTTTTCTTTTGAATTATCAAGTTCATTCTTCCAAAAGTAAAGTGCAATTACATTTTATTTAATTATATATTTGCCATTTCCACGGGGAAAAAAACTGTTTCTATCGCGGATTGGGTAGAAACTAACCGAGTTCCCAATTTTTTCCCTGTGTTATCCTTGTTGTATGCGGTATTCTGTTGTCATAGAGAAGAATAATTTTTTTCCTATTGATGAGTGCAAGATGTTTTAGAAATTGGACACAGATGATTACATATTTGTTTAGTCAAATACAATGTACGGCTTCATATGTTTTTTCATTTCCTTTATAACAATTCCGTTTTTCTTTATCAACCTTATTCTTCACAAACATTACCAGGAATGGGAATTCACTGGAGAAAGTGTCTAGTTTTAAATACTTGGGAGCAATCTTGTCTAAAGATTGTACCTGCAGCTCTGAAATCCACATACAGATTGTTGCAGCGATGGCAGCGATGGCCAAATTGACAAGAATATGGAGGAGCTAAATCAGCTTTCAAACGAAGTAGAGACTGTACAAATCGCTGGTAGTCTCCATTCTTGTGTATGGATGTGAAATGTGGACACGGTTGACAGAAACACAGAGAAGGATCCAGACGTTTGAGAAGATATCCATGAAAAAACTCTTTGGGATATTCTATTGAGAACAAAAAAAAAAAAAACAATGTGTTTGTGCGGAAAAGGGTTGAAAGTTTTGTGGTTCATCAGCAACCTCTTCTCACTGCAGCGAAACGGAGAAAAATGGCGTGGTTTGGACACATTACTAGGCACGACAGCCTGTGTAAGACCATCATGAAAGGCACCGTTGAAGATGGACGTAGAAGAGGACGCCTACGCAGAAACTTGTTGGACAATGTCAAACAATGGACAAGTATGACTATATCAGAATTGCTGATGACTACCGTTGATAGACCGTATTATTGCCATATTGACAACGTTTCGACCGTTGTACGCTCCGACTTTCTTCAAGTGATTGGAATCTACCCCGGTGGACGAAATAAAGGGTTTGATCGAAATTCCAATCACCTGAAGAAGGTCGAAGCGTACAATGACCGAAGCGTTGTGAATATGGCAATGAAGATGAGGATAACAGTCCGAATAATGTGAATAATGTAAATAATCATAATACCTCATCTCAGAAATCCAATCACCTGAAGAAGGCCGGAGAGTACAATGACCGAAACGTTGTGAATATGGCAATGAGGATGGGGATAACAGTCCGAATAATGTGAATAATACAAGTAATCATAATACCTCATCTCAGAGATCCAATCACCTGAAGAAGGCCGGAGCATACAACGGCCTAAACGTTGTGAATATGGCAATGAAGATGAGGATAACAGTCCGAATAATATGAATAATGCAAATAATCATAATACCTCATCTCAGAGATCCAGTCACCTGAAGAAGGCCGGATCGTACAACGGCTGAAACGTTGGGAATATGGCAATGAAGACGAGGATAACAGTCCGAATAATATGAATAATGCAAGTAATCATAATACCTCATCTCAGAGATCCAGTCACCTGAAGAAGGCCGGAGCGTACAACGGCTGAAACGTTGGGAATATGGCAATGAAGATGAGGATAACAGTGGAAAAATTATATTTAATCAATTGCTTGGTCTACTGCTAAGAAAGTTAGTTCAATGTGTGTTGTTAGACAATTTTTCCCGCCAGAATTTTATTTATAGTTTATCATTCGTCCTTGCTTTGAATATTGGTGACACATATGGTCTTGTGCTCCTGCTATATATTTAGAGATTCTTGATAAAAATCCAAAGAAGGTTCCGCAACGTTATTGGTCCTGACATGGCATCTCAGCTTCAGTCAGTTCCCCACCATCTTAACGTAGGTTCCATGTGCCCTTTCTATAAATACCTTTATGGTAATTGTCCTGAAGATCTTTCTGCTATGGTACATCGACTCGATGAATTTAAGGATTCTAGAAACATTCGCCGTAAATCATTTTTTTTTTATTTAGAACGCGTCTCGTGAATTTTTTTAACCGTATATTTTTTTGAAAAAGACAATTTCGACGCATTTTATTTAGTATGCGAAGTACCTTGTTATCAAGTCTATCTGGCTCACATTATTCTTACTTATAATAAGCGAAGGTATATACTAACATGCACCCAAATTTGTGGAAACTAATTGCTTATTTGAAAAAGGAAGAGACATTAGCAAAGAAGAAAAAGTGTGATTTAGATCGAGGAGATGCAGTACAAATGAAGAAAATATATTTTGATATCAATACAAGACTTCGACGGAAAATACTTCATTACAGTCCAACGCAAAAAAAATACATTATTTACGAAGCATTGCTTGGAATCTGCACACATTTTAAATTATTTCTTTGTTAATTTGATATATTTTTAGTCTTTTATTTTTTACATAAATGTTTACTTATTAATTTCCTTTCTAATGTTTGAACCTGTAAAAAAGACATTCATATATACCTGATAACAATGTACTTCGCATATTAATTTGAATATTACTACAAAAGGAACGTTCTAAAACAATGTGGGGGAGGGCGAAATTGTACTACGGCAAAAATCCAATACGTCGAAGTTTCTTACGGCGAGTTTTCATGCGGCAAAAATGTTTACGGCGAATGTTCCGGATACGGAATGTAAGTGCAGTACCAGATTGGCAATTTACGATTAAATTGGCTAGATAGATACAATACTAGGTGCTATGCTTATTCCGTCTCTCGCACTTCTCACGTGTGGAACTCTCTTTCGACTACATGCTTTCCAGCCAACTTTGATATTCAAAAATTTAAATGCAATGTCAATCGTTGTCAGTCTAATGTCTTTTTGATTATTCTCCTTTTATTGTTTTCGCTCCTTAATAATGTTTCTTTTTTTTCTTAATCTTTCCACTCAGTAACAGTTTGTGTCTTATTCACTTTATTGCCTTGCTTGGGGTGAAATGAATAAAAAAATAACTGATGTGTATATAATATGTGCGTTTTCATGCGGTAATATACGGGAGTTCTTTATTTCGATTTTCACAATTGAGAACTGTCGAATTGAGAACGTTGAAACAAAAAATTAAGATTCGTCATATAATAATAATAACTCTACTACTCTTTATAGGTTAGTGTATTTTTAAGTTTCTTAGTTAATATATAAAATTAGTCTATTAAATTGTAGACATGTAATTCGTAAACAAACTTATATTTTCACAACTGACAACTTACCTAATTTAGATCGCTATATTTGCTTTTATCACATCACTAAAAACAGCCTATAACTAATTTCATTTTTAAAAACAATTCAGAATGAAACGAGATAGAATAATTTTTAACATCAGGTTTTGTTAGAGAAAAAAAATTGAGGTAGATTTCTCTTGTCTTTCTTTTCGTATTTCTAAAATTAATCACGAAAGACTTTTTTTCCCATTCCTGTTTATACAATGAGAGACATTCTTTGAAATAAATTAACTTCCTTGTTTTCGTTTTTCTTTCAAATCCAGGTGGCGCTGGCGGCGGTGAGTAAAAATAAATTTTCAAATCAAGTTAAATTATTTTATGAATTTAGATCTAAAAGCGATTTATTTGATTAGATGACATATAAGATTCTTTTTTTAATCCAAAATAATAGCTGAAAATTCCTTCCCTTGTCTTATAAATGAATTTGACGCATCCAAACTAAAAACAACCAACGTAGTATGCCAATTACATCGGCCAGTACAAAACTGCATCTCTTGTCATGAACCGATAATCTACATTGGACACGAGACAACACTCTCGTGTATAATGACAAGGCGTTCCTGTGATATCAGTGCAATAAAAACATCTTGATTTCCACATACAACTACTTGCTCCCATTAGAAAACATCTATTTGATAATACTATGATACTAAAAATTCCCTCTGCCGACTAAACATTATCGAGGCTCTTTATATCAAACATTTCCAGCCAAGCACCAATCTTACTTTATTTAGCAATAGGTCGAATGTGTTTGTGATCTTTTAACAAGACTCCCAACAATAAAATCGCCCTCTCGCCTAACCTGATATTACTACTACTTCTACACAATAAACTTAGAACATGAACATTGAAGAAGATTAACAACTAATCTCTTTAAAATGGCTAATGATTTGGTCAAAAGCGCCTCGGATAATAACCAGTGCGGACGTTTTTTGTGTGACCCCTTAGACCTTCCAAAAAGAAAACTCTGTGAATGTGAGGAAAACTTAAATGTTCTAACGTTTCGAGTGCCTTCGTCTCAGCAGCCATTTTCAAGTATAATTTTTTGTTATGCTACTATGGTACAAGAGTTGGTGAAAGTAATTCGGACAGTACATAGTAACCGTGTTCATAATTAATCAATCAATACGCAACACGGATAAGGACACACACACACAGACACACACACAGACACACACACACACACATATATATATATATATATATATATATATATATATAAAAAATAAAGAAAACACCTTAAAAATGTATCTCAGTTATAATTTATTTCATCAATATTTTAATACACATCTCTTCGGACCAAAGTTTTCTTTAGAAATGATATTAAAATATTAATGAAATAAATTATAACTGAGATGGTTTTTTAAGGGTTTTTCTTTATTTGTCATTATATTTATCTAATAATTATGAATAATAGATAAAACTATTGTAGTCGACGCGTTTCGTCCTTGGAAGGGCTTTATCATTTGCCTTGATAAAGAGGACGAAAAAAAGTCTAAGAATAATTATTCCTCTTGTCTTTTTTATTCATTTTCTTCCTCTATCTAAGAATAATTTACATTATATATATATATATATATATATATATATATAAAATATATAAAAAAGACATTATATGAAAAGATTGTTAAGTTTTAAATATCAATTTTATTAACACTTATTTTTAATATTATTTTAACATTTTTTTCTATATTGAGCACTATATTTAAAAATATTTGTTTTTCTTATATATATATATATATATATA